GCGCCGCTCTCACGGTCAAGGTCAGCCAACCCGAGGGGGGACGATAATTGTTCGTCGCTGCCTGACGCGTGGGTGTGGCCGGGGTTATCGAGCCGTGGAAACTTCTCTCTCTCTCTCTCTCTCTCTCTCTGTCTCTCTGTGTGCGAGCGAGTGGGTGGCACGCGGTTTATTCGTCGTAAAATCGAGGATCTATCGCGCAGGACGGATAGGACGAAAGTGTAGTTTAAGTTGGCCGATAGAGCGAGGAGAGTGAGAATGATGAAAGTTGGAGGGGGGATATCGTCTCTTCGATTCGTTTTTAAATAGAAGATATGATAATTCGTTGATCGATTTCTTTACTCGATCGATTCTCTTCAGGGGTGATAAATAACGTTAATACGCGGTGAAACGTCCCGAGAGATTTCTTCTGTTGCTGTTCCTGGCACGAGAGAAGGGAACTCGTGCTGGTTTGGTTTCGAGTTGAGGAGGGTCGATTCGACGAGGTTTTTAAGGGGTGGGCGAGGTTGAGGAAACTTGCGGGTTCTGAAAATGGGGTGTGAAGGGACTTGCGGTCGGTTTCTGGAGATCGAGTTTGGAGATCTGTTTACCTTCGCTATTCTTCTTTTCCAACAACGATCGCATGGTTGCAGGAATTTCGTCGATCGAATCGAAAAAAAAAAAAAAGAAAAAAGAAAAGAAGAATAACATCGAAATCGAAGATTTATTTTTTTTAGGGACAGGTTCGATGATGACGGATAAATCGATATTGCACGGGCGACAGGGAAGATTGTTGTTATGCCGTTGCCATATGTCGATGCGTCGTCGTGCATCGAGTTTTCTACAAAGAGCCAATTTTACACGATGAAAGGAAAAAGAGGGGAACAGGAAAACATCGAGGCAGCCTTGCCAGTTGAAAACCTGTTACTCGGTTATTTGTTACGATTGGGACAAATGGTTTAGTGAAGACATTTAACGCCATATGCTAAAGGCGTTAAAGGAAAGGTTTATTGAAGTCGATTTTTATCCGATATAATGCAGGAATTGCGAGTGGAGAAGAAGAGGGGGGAAAAAGAACAAAAAACAAAAAAAAAAAAAAGAAATATAAAAAATACCGTCGAACGATCTTACAGTAGGAAACCTGTTATCTTTGTGAGCGCTCGTTGCAGTAAATTCTGTGGACAGTTTAGTGGAAGTTCGAGATACGTTGGATTAGAAGATACGAAGAATTTTGAAAGAGGGGAATGTTACTTAATTTTCCTTCTTTTCCTTTTTTTTTTTTTTTTAATAACGTTGCATGCTCGACAATCGTGAATCCGAATTTTTCTTTTTCTTTTTTTTTTTTAGCCGAAAAAAGATCAATCAATTCGATTGTTCGTAAAAGGACAAGGTTTAACGATTACGACGAGAAAATATTCTTATTAACGAATAATTTCAGATTTAATGGATCATCGCGAATCCCTTTCTCGAAGCGCGCACGAACGAGATCCTTCGGCAAGGTCGCGAGCAGGCGTGGCCGTTGAAAAGTTATCGGGTTTCCTTATCAAAGCACGCCGGTTATTTGGAATAAATTCCTAATTATGAGGGCATCGAGGTTTTATGTACGCGCGGTACGGCCACGGTTCGAAAGAGATGCGAAGAAACCCTTCGCGGAACGCACAAGGCGATACAGTCTCGTAAAACTGGAAGATAAGATAATTCGCGCAAAATCGAGTTTCACCGTTATTATTTTCTCCCCCTCCCTCCTCCTCCTCCTCGATGTTCAACCGGAATATCTGTTTCATATTGCCATAGGAATTCCTACGGTTCTGTTCCAAGGATATCTTACGTTTAAACGAAGGATAAAATATCAGGATTATCGTCTCTCGAAACGAGCCTCGATTAGCTTACTTTGATTTAACAATTTGATAATTTAATCGTTAAGAAAAGAAAAAAAGGATAACGTTATAATGAAATTACGTTAAAAATTACGTGTCTCGTATAATTATATCGCGGAAGAGATCATCGAACGAGAGTATTTCCTCTCTCCCTCCCTCGTTCTTCAATTATCTCGAATTTGCACACCGATTTTCCTTACCACCCAAGTAACCTCACCTCGCGCTATCGATTCCATTATACTACACATATCTACACATATCCATTAATTAAAATCAATTCCACTTTATGATCGCCTCCTCTCCCCATTATATCAATTTTCAAATTTCGATCGTAGCCCAGAAGCCCCGTATCCCTCTAATCATCGAATTTCCACGGAATCATCCATTCGCCACCGAAACTTTCCTCCACTTTCCACCCTCGTACTTTCTAATCGAATTAATTTATCCATTTTCCACGGCGAAGCATGCGATAACAAATTTCCTCTGCCTCTCTCTCTCTCCCTCTTTTTCTCTCCCTCTTCTTTTCCTTCGCTCTCGAGAGCGGCCAGGGCAGGGATACTTTTACGCCGCCCTTGCTTGCCCGCGCGCGGCACGGGGATTAATCTCGTTACGGAGAGTATAATCCGATTCTTCTTCCTCGTCCTCGCCTCGATAACAGGTCGAACGAGGGCCAGGCGAAATTGTTATCATTATCGTGGAAATTTCATCGCCGGCCTGGTTAATTGATTCCCGTGGAGGAAGAAAGTATCCATCGGGGAGCTGGCAACTCGATGGGGGACTGTGATTGAGTGGGACAAGTGGGGGGTTGCTGGTGACACGTGATGGGAATGGAAATAATTCTCTCTCTCTTGAGAGAGAGAGAGAGAGAGAGAGTCTATCTTGGCAACCTTGATGCGTTCCTGCGGTATCGTGGAACGCTTCGTACAGGGTGGATTTGGGATAATTGTTTAGAATTGGGGCTAGGGTGGGATAGGATATAGAGCCGAAATTTGTTTAACTGCGTATCAATCTTTCCATTCTATTAGTAATTATTTCTTTCTAATTTCTCGAGATTAATAAAGGAAAGATGAAGGGGTTAAATGTTTCGAGGCTCGTGAAATATGAAGATGAACGTTGATCGATCGATTCTTTTTTAACGGAGAAGGTAAATTTTTATATTAAAAAATGAATCAAAAGGCTTTGCATGGATTTGGGATAATTGTTTAGAATTGGCTGATCGAAATTTGTTTAACTGCGTATCAAACTTTCCATTCTAATAATAATTATTTTTCTTTCTATAATTTCTCGAGAATAATAAAGAGGAAAGATGAAGGGGTTAAATGTTTCGAGGCTCGAAATATGAAGTTGATCGATCGATTCCTTTTTAACGGAGAAGGTAAATTTTTAGATTAAAAAATGAATCAAAAATTTGGACTTTGCGTGGATTTGGAATAATTTAGTTTAGAATTGGCTGATCGAAATTTGTTTAACTGCGTATCAATCTTTTCATTCAAATAGTAATTATTTTTCTTTCTGTAATTTCTCGAGAACAATAAAGAGGAAAAATAGATGAAGGGGTTAAATATTTCGAGGCTCGTGAAAAATGAAGACACGTTGATCTTTTCTAACGGAGAAATTAAATTTTTAGATTAGAAATGAATCGGAAGGCTTCACTTTTTTAAAGAACACGGAGAGAAGTTGGTTTCGATTCCATAGAAATGGCGGAACAGTGGATCACTGTGGAGAAATTTCCAGAAAGGACACATATGTCGGTCGAAGATTCTAGAGAAGTTGAATTTGGATCGTAGAACTGCAATTAGGACCATGTGTTTGTTAATGGCGCATATCACGGCATCCTAATGGGATGTTTGTTCAAGATATCCCCCGCTGCGAACTTCTTACCCCCCGAAAATCAGTTTTTGCCAACATTCATCGCCCCGATCCTCCGTTTAATTTATGCCCGCCTTATTTAACAGACCAACGCTGTTCCAATCCACCATTCATATATACATTATAAAAAAATAAATGGACAACAAATATCCGGCAAATTTCGAGCAAATTTGAAAAGAAAAAAAAAAATTGGTAAAGTCTAAATTATTTCGCATCGTTCCTCGAAGATCCTCGAAACGAGAGAAGAAAGGGGCAAACAAATTCCAGTTCCATTCCAAACTAATAAGCCAAAAGAACAAACGGAACGGGACCCTTTACGCGGAGTCCAAACTCGCCCCTTTTCAAGGGGTTAACGAGCAAGCTCGGAGCTTTCGCCGCTTCAAAAGCGTTTTGTCGCTGCGGATAAACGCGACATCGTTTCAAGATGAAAGCGGGGATTTGAAGAAGGCCGAGAAAATGGACGGTCTAAAGAGAGAAGCGAGCAGCGCGGAGGAGGCAGTTTTTACAGCACTTACAGAGAGAGAGAGAGAGAGAGAGAGAGGGAGAGGCGACGTGGCCGCGTTTCGTACGAATTCAGCGAAAAAAGAAATGGCGAGGGGGGAGTCCTCCTCCTCCTCCTCCTCCTCCTTCTCCTTCTCCTCCTCTTCGAGGCCCCTTTGATCCTGGAAATTAGCTTACAGTTTATTGCATTTTTTACAGCGCCTTTCATCTCCGGAATCTCACGCGCACGCCGGTTAAAATTTCTCATCAATATGCAGGGAGGGCGAGAGCGAGGAGGAGGGGAGGGGAAGGAAGGGAGAGGGAAAAAAAGAAGGAGGGGAAAGATAAATGTGGAGTGAACATGATCCACGAAAAGAGGAGTAGGGAGGAAGGGATCAACGGTGGAGATGAAGGAAAGCTTTGACCGAGGAGGAGGAAGAGGAGGAGGAAGGAGAGGAATCCCTGTGGATGAAATCCGACGACTTATCAGCCCGAGGGAAAGAACTTCTTTATTGAATTACGCGTGGTAACGATGTAGGGAACGGTGAACTGTTCCGATGATCGCGAGTCGAGTTGGCGAATTTTCGCACCAGGATTTTGCTCTCCATGGTTTCGTTAAAAACGAATATAGGATGGGAAGATTTCTCGAAGGATTTCGAATTGGAATATGGAATATAAGTATATGTGTATGACGTTAATTCTTTCGGTTGAATATATTTATATATTCCGATCCGATTACAAGGAAGGAAGGAAAGGAGTGGAAATACGGATAAAAGTGAGTGGAGAAAAATTGAAGGGAATGACGAGAAAGAAATGTTGAAAATTCTCGTTCCCTTGCGGAACGGAAGGCGAAGGCGGGTATAAATATAAATTTCAACGTGTACACAAACATAAACGTCACAACTAAACGTCAAATTGTAGATATTCATAACAGAGAATGTTCGTGTGATAAGCCATACTTCGTGCCTGACTGTACAAGCGACAACCTTCGACCGTGGTATTATAAGTATTCACCGTACGCCGCCATTCAGTAATTTTTACAACCGTTCCAGGAACGCGTCAACAAACACCGTGATAAAATTAAATCACGACGTTCCGCGATTGAGTCTCGAGATAGGTGTAAGGTAAAACGTAGAAAACGACACCGTTTTTCCTTGAACCGACTCTCCATTAACTCTCCATTAATTGAAACTACTGGTTACCTCGGTATTCGCGTTGCGCGAAAATCGCGAAAAGAAACGGCTGAAGGGTGTAATTTCAATCGATTCGCAACAGGCGATGCGCGCGTGTGGTTGTTCGCCTCGTGGAATGAATGTTGCCCGAGGAATTACAGCCCGAGGGTGTGAAAGAAACGCGCGACAACCTATTACTAACAGTTTACACACGGTTAAGAAGAAGTTTGTCGAAGCGTTGGAATCTCTCGAATTGATTAGAAGCCGAGTGAGGTGTGAAATTGTCGTCGATATTTTAGCAAGGATTTATTGGACGCTCGATGAATACGTCCTGGTATTTAGGTCTTTATGCGATGTTTAATTATTCGCGGAGAGCCTTCATTATTCCTGGAATCGCAGATGCATCTTTGTAGCCTTTGTTGCGCTCCACGGTGTTGTGCGCGTAATGGGTGAAGTCTCACGATCATTTCCCTGATAGCGCGAATGTGTCAGCCATCTTGCCAAACCAATCCTATAATTTCGATAATTCCCTTTCTCGGGTTCCAAGTTAAAAAAAGATCCTTTGTTTTCTTATCTCTTCGAAAAGTTCGAAGTTTCGATCGTGGAAAAAAAAAGAAGTCCAAGTTCTGTCGATTTTGTTCCAGACCCACGACAGTATATTCCCCATTCGATTAACGAAACTTGGATCGAGATATATATATTCTTCATCGACCCTGGACCGTCGCGCCCGAGAAGAGGATCCTTCTCGTTGTTTAGTCATCCAGCCCGCGGCTACGATGCTCTACGTATCCTCGAAGAAAGAGGAAGAACGCGAGGCAGATGCAACCGAGAAGGGAGCGAGAAGAGGACGAGAAGAAAAGGAACGGAGGTGAGATCGCAATCGAGAGAGCCGACAGGCCACGACATCGTCGACGAATCTCGAGTTCAAGTTGGCTCGACCGGTTGGTGATGTCACTCAATATTTCCGTTTTCGAAGAACACGAATTGCCGCAAATGACGTCAACGCACCCTCCTCCTCGCCGCTTGTTGTTGCACGAAACGTCGTACCTGTCGCGCTCTCCTTCTCTCCGCGTTTCTCGGGGGATAGGGACAGGTAGCCCGAGCGGTTCACTGCAATTAGCAGGGGATCGCGGAGGATAAGGGATTGGAGTTTCGAGGAAATTTATGGGGAGGCTTGATCTTGGTAATTCCAGGCGTTTATTAAAATGCTGTACCTGTACGGGGTGACGTAATTGGTCCTGTGACGCGCATCTTTCGACTCGCCGATCAGGTTTCAGCATCGTCCCTGCGCCTTCGGATGATGAGACGCGTTTAAGTTTGGAACACGACCAAGCCTGGAAGTAAATTTTCGATGATTTTTATTTTACCATAAAATTACCGCTACGAAAAGTATCTTTCGTTCCTTTGCTGAAATTGCGTGCGTAATTTTAAATCGCGTCCAAATGTGGATATCTTTACATTTCTTACATCATCGATGTACGCAAGATAACAACGTAAACAATAGAATTTCGAAGACCTGAAGTTTTTCCTTCATTCAGAGGACAACAGTCGCCAATTAGTCACAGAAGAGTCGACGAGTATACACGATGGCCGGTCGCTTTCTTGCGAGATAACGACAAGTTGAACGACACAGAAGCGCGGCGAGACCGGATGTCGTCTCGCTCGCTTTGTTTCCTCTTGGGCGGGCAGATCGAGGGAAAAGACAGGCGAGGACATTGTCTGACGCGTAGCAATGTCAAGGCCCGTCACTGACATCTACCAGGGTGTTTTCTACGCGAGAGGAAACGCGGTGAAACAAGCGTACTAATAATAGAGAATGCGAGATCGATCGGTTCATCCGCGCGTGAAAAACGATCATTTTCGATGAACGACGTGTCTTTGCACGATAATACATCTGACTGCTCGACGCTTGATTTGTTTCATCGAGTTATCTATTGCGATTACGCGATCCGATCAAATTGAATTAGAGGTTAGGTCGACGCCATTAGGCGAAAGCGAACGTGTCACGCGAATGATTCGTAAAGATCGTAAGGAAATTGTTAGAAGTTTTTGCAATGTTTGGAAACTAGAATAGAATGGAATTGTATGTAAATTAGAATTGTTTCCATTTAAAATAACGTGATCATATCATTAAAGTATGATTTTTGGATACCTTCTTGATTTGAAAATAGTTGGAGATGCATTGAAATTGGATTAATGGAGGAATTTTGATAATAGTTGAAATTAAATGTTAAAATTGACAAAGGATTTGAGAATAGTTGGAATATTGAAGATCGACACAAATAAATATAGTTGAAACGGATTGGTCGCGCATGCAGTTGAGCAAAAAATCAAATAAGAACCTTTCCCTGTATTGTTCAGCCTGTAAGAATTTCCATGGGTTGAACCGAGCGAACCTTTCAAGAAGAGGTATATTCTCAGTTCGACCAAAAATATCCTAATATTTGAACAGTGATATCATCGATTGCAAATAATTACTGAAACACCGACAAACGATGCAACGGATACCATTGTATACTACACATGTTTGTATTTTAATTTAAAGCGTTTTATCCGGATGATGAAGATGGATCGATTATTTCTTGCACAATTCATATGAGTAAAAACTATCGTATGCGACAATCAAGATCAAATTAATAATTCTATTTAAAAAAATTTCATAAGAAAGTCAAAGTTGAAAATTCCAGAATTGAAAAGATCGCAAGAATTCTGTATATTCATGATATTTCTTAAGTAAGTAGTAATCAATTAGAAATATATACGTACTTTTCCTTGTTAGATCAGTCTCGAATTACATAATATCTATAATTGGCTAATAAAAAATATTCTATGCATCCGCATTGTTCATATCTGGCCTGTCAACATTCTTAAACACAATTATCTTCATCATTTAATCATTTATATATATTAATCTAAATATAATCTTCCTCCAATCGACTAATTCAATTCATCTCGAAATCAGAAACTATGATCTATTAATAAATGAAACTCATGTGTTCCTAAACGTTTTTCAATTACTTTCGACATTAAAAATTTACAATATATCATAATAATTACCTTTGTATCATATACTTCATCTTCATCTATTTTATTGTTATTAATCTAATTTTATCCAATCTGTCAACGATTTCGACTCGTTTCAAAATCAGAATCCATAAACGAATGAACTCATCTTTCAACTAACCTAAAATCAACAAAGAATGCACAAATTTTCCAACTGTATACCACACCTGCAACATCAAAAATTTACATTTACGGTACATTACAATAATTTACAACTATCGTTATACCTCTCTCACGATCTACACCAACGTGTGAATGAAACGACGAATATCTTAGGACGAGGAAGATCGAAGAGAAAAAGAAGGTGTCGCGTGACGCGTCCACGACGCACGTATCTCGCAAAGAACGACGTGCCTCGCGATGATTCACGCTTGCTAGGACGACGCAGGTGGAACGTACGAGCGCGCACGTCCTCTCGAGAGAAGCGGCGAGGCTCGTACGCGGCGTCGATGACGATGCCGATCAGCACGACGACCGAGATGGAAACAGTCTAGGGTATCATCGTCTATAAATACTCTAATAGCCTCGGGCAAGGACGTGGTTGGTTACGGAGGATGATCCTAGACGACGTTGGCTTCGCTGCGACGGTGCTGACCTCTTCGAGCGGATCGACGCGCGCCGATTGGACGCCTGCTCTCCGCTAATTGGCGTGTACGGTTGTGCGGTGGAACAAGAATCTCTCTAGGGACCTTTGATAATCAGAGGTATTAGCTAGAGGATTTTAGAATCCGTGTGTAAAGGATGGCTTGTGGGGAAGCGGCGTAGTATTATCGAAGCGGATAATGAGCTCTGAAGAATATGTGGAAAGAATCCGTGACCAGTCTTGGGTTTCAAACAGTATTCGAGATTGAAGAGTAACGGATCAATTCCGGCAATTCATATTTCCGGTTGTGATGAAGCGATAGGATGAAGAAAGAAGATGGGATTCGTCTTCGTCGATGATATTTGGTTGGTCGTTGATTTTGTAGATTTTTTTCTTTTCGTAAACTATGGAATTTTTGTACCTGAATTTCCATAAAAATGATAGGATATTAGAGCTAAAAGAACTAAATTGCCATGAAATTCAAAGTATCTGACAATTTCAATAGTAAAATTTGTATAAAATCCGAAAAAATCTGAGTTATCATAAAAGTATTTAAATTTTTATAATAATTTAAGTAAATTGTAACTGAATTGTCACTAAATTCAAAGTTTCTACATTAACCTAAAATATCTGAGTTTGACAGAATTCCATAGTATTACGTCATTCAGATAATGTTATAGAATTTCAAAATTGAGTTATCACAAAATTCCAAAATATCTGAATTCTTATAGCAATCCAAAGTAGCTAAATTATCGTAGAATTTCAAAGTATATTTGAATTCTAACAGGATTCTAAAATGTTTTTCGAAAAAATTAAATGGCTTCCTTCTTCAATTAAATAAAAGTTTAATTATAAACTTAGATTTAATCTATTTTTATTTGTTCTTTTCATGCAATATTTTGAAGAACATCATGAACGTTAAAAAACGAGGAAGCTTAACGATCAATGTAGTTCTTGAATGAGAAACGACTCGAAACTAGATAATGGATTTGATAATAAAGATCCTTGGATTATGTATGCAAAGTACGAGTTCCTTAGAATGCTTAACGAGTTGGGGTTGCTCTGATAGAAATTGAAACATTGGAGAGGATCCAGCAGAGAATTGAAAAGAGTTAATGAGATGGTCGCCTGATAGTTCCTAATGAATTGATTGCAGTTCAAGCACGTCCTCGCGATAACGTGTGAATTTGTAAATCTCTTTCTAATAGATCAGAGGAAGAGATTAACAACAGAGATTTGTGCGAGTGATAGAAGAGATTGTTAAAGAATTAAAATATTCCTCGTTTTCTACTATATTATAATTGAAATACATATTTTAACTTTTAACGATTATTATATACATTTTTATTCGAATATTTGTACTATTCTATCAGAAAAAAATACTTAAATTCTCATAGAATTTCAAATTATCTAAGTTTCTATAAAAATTCTAAAGTACCGGATATCTGAGTTCTTATAAAATCATCTTTCAAAATCTTTCTCAGAATCTCAAAATATTATTTAAACAGTTCCAAAATACATACTTGAACTTCCATAAAATTTCAATTTTCCTAAATTTCTAAACGTCTGAGTTAAAATAGAAATCCAAAATTTCTACATCAAAAATTGCATAACATCATAATTCCAAAAACTTCTTTTCGAAAAAGTCATGCAAAAAATCAAACGAAAAATTAGAATTAATTTCAAGAATTAATCTTATTTGTGTTCTAGATTTCCATGTTTCACAAAAAATATCCTCTTTAAAGGTACCAAGACATTTCAACAACGATTCCTCGGAAATATTAATTTATACGTAATCGATGAAACGTTCCTCCATCTTCAATCGTTCGATACTTTTTTTCCAAATGTTGTTAATTAAATGAAATCAAAGATCGATAAAACGTAGGCAAAAGAAATACGTGAATTAAAGTTCAAGATTGTGGACGTAAATCGGTGAAAATTACTTCGAACGATTACTACCATCGCTTATTATAGCTGACGTAATTCATGGGCTATGTTTCACTCGCGACAACAACAACAATAACAACAACAACACGAGTTAGAAGCCTCCACACGCTCTATTACCAGCATGTTTATAATCTTTTATTACCATTGGATGATCGGTTCTCGGTCGAGCTTAGATGCTAATTTGTTTAAATTTGCATCTTTATCATCGTGAACATAATAAACTGAAGAAATATTGGTAATAATTGTCTTTTGATTTTTCATTACTGTAATAATGCGATGAATTCATTTTTTTATTACTGTGCACAATATAAAGCATGAATTATGGCGAATGAATCGTTTGCATTTTTTTGCTTGTGCAATTATATAATTGCAACGCTCATTTTAAATCGATTAATAATCCTCGAAACGAGGGACACGTAGTAAAAAAATTATTTCTCTGAAATCGCAACGAGGCTTGGAATACGCTTGATTAATTGTAATATGATCAACATCATTTTGTTAGCTCATGATTGATTCGCCAAAATCAAGGTGTCTTTTTTTTTTTAAACATCTTTCGGTTTTTATCAACATCCGTGAACAAATTCTTAAATGTTTCAGAACTTGATTAGATTGTTAAAGAAGATTCGAGAAGGAACATTTATTGCGCGAAAGGAACTGTACAGTGATCTAAATCAATCGAAGCCGGCTAATCCTTATTTTCTAAATCTGTGAAACAGCGGAGAATTCCATTGAAATCTCTTCGACCATCATCGATCAAGCGTAATTGGGGAAAAAACGAAGCGGAGAACGTTGGAGGAAGCAAGGGATCGATTAGTCTGTGATTGAGTTACAGGAAGGCAGTCGTTTATTGGCATAATCGATACCTTACTGGGTTTAATAAATACATCCTTGGGAAACCTCGAGCTCGGTATATTCTCTCGACAAGGTTCTTTTTTTTTTCTTTCTTTCTCTTTCGCGAAATCCGTGATTCGAAGAGGAAAAATCATGTTAACACCAACGTTTGATTATCCTCATTTCGAGGCATAATCGACGTTCAAAGGTTGTCATCTGGTTAAACATGGTCTCGACAACATTTACGTATTTTGTACGATATTAGCATCGATATTTAAAAATAACGAAAGAAGAAGAGACTTAAAAATTATGAGAAGGAATAAGTTGTATATATCGGGTTGAAAAAATTCTAATAGAGAAAAAAAAAAAAAAAAAAGGAGAAAAAAAAAAAAAAAAAAGGAGAAAAAAAAAAAAAAAAAAAAGAAAGAAAGGAGAAAATAATAATAAATAAAAGACGACGATTAAAAGTTGTGCGGTGTCATTCCATCGATATTTCGTTATCAATCGCAAAAGAAAAGAACAGTGGCAATAGATTATCAGTGAATAACCATCTCATTGCCACCGTATACGCAGCGCACAAACGACGTATGATCGTCGACTGATCGGCAAAACATTCACGCCGACAATCTCGCCGCTGTCGAGGCATGCAGAGGAATGTTGATGCTGTGCTGTCATCGATAAGTGGACACGCATTTATATTTAAACTACATGTAATAATATGAATACGTCGATGTTGGTCTGACGTCGTTCATATGCTATTAACCTTTTTGCCACTGGACGCGTATGTACATACATACATATGTATAGCTGCATGTATACCTCGTTAAACATCGACTAACCATTTGCTAAAAAACGTGCAAATATTTTCCATAAAATAATTTTTATTTTTATACACGAATTATAAAATAATTAACATTGGAATAAACAGATTGGCTTCAGATTATTGACAAAAAAAAAAAAGAAATATATATATACATATATATATATATATATGTAATAATTTATTTTTAGACGTGTAAAATTATACGTCTAATTATTTGTATAATTCTAATTTTTAATCCCAATCGAATTACAACGTTAATTATACAAAATATCTCCGATGTAAATATTCTAAACTTCCTCCTCGAATACCAAAAACACTTTCAGTCCCGAGAGTACCATAACGAAAGGGTTAAGTGGCCGACAGCCTTTAACCATTAACACTGCGAATATTCGCTCTTTCTCTTTCCATCTATATGTATTGCGAAATCGAGTTTTACTCGTCCATTTGGTTCGAAGCAGAAAGCAACGTCCTCACGTGCCGTCTTTAAACTCTCGGCCATCGACCGTCTGGCGAAAATATAGTAACGAAGTGCGAAAAGAGGATGTTGAAACAGCAGGTCGAGAAATTCGATCTAAGGTTTATGTACCTTGTCGAAACTTCGATCAGCCGCTTCCTCATCTCTTGGAGAGTTTCAAACTTGACTTCTCGTCAAATTACCACACAGTGATAACGATGCCGTAAAAGAAAACGAAATCGCTTATGAATTTTGAACGAGTTATTAGTACAACTGTTGGGGACCAATATCGAAGAGTTAATCGATCAACTTGTTCAAAATTTTTTCTATATCTAAAAATAATAAATTTAATTGACTCTATTATAATTTCTCTTTGACAAATTTATTTATTATTCTTCCAACTCTTGAATAGAAGATTGGAAAACAGATTTCAAAAATAGAATTTTTTCAGAATTCCTCCTCGTCCGTGGATAGAGAAACAGATTCGAAATTTGAGAATATTCTAATCACCGTTCGAGTCGTATTCAACAAGTTTCTGTTATGCGATCTCTTACATTTTGCTACACGCTGATAATACACCAGTTGCAGCGGCGAAGATTAATGTCATCCACCACGCGAAATCTATTCATCTGACGTTCTCTATCTACAATGTCGGAGAAGTTGCAATGTTGAAACTCGGAGATAAGATAAGAAGAAACGAGAGTTGTCCGACAATTTGCCGATTAAGATGACAAATATTTCTCGTTTAAAATCAGTCGAGGAAACTTGATATTTTCATACGAACAAAACTCGAAACGAAAAACATAGAAGATGCGTAATTGTTATACAACCTATGATATTATCTCCATTTTTAGAATCTTCTAGAACCTTTTAGAACGAAAATTCTTCGAGCAATATCGAAAGTTACACAATGATTACGATATTCGATGTATTGTTCCTTTCATTTAGAGCCTTAGCTCGAGAAAGTTGAAAATTAAGAGGAAGCAAGATCGCGATCTTGAAAGATTGTTTTAACGTAATTCGATTGGTTTCGTTTGAAGTCTAGGAGGAATGGTGTTTAATAGATGATCCTAAAAAAGAAATAACGATCGGCGGATATACATATATCCCGGCTCTCGTTTTATCTTTTTCACCCATGAAAAAGTTAACGCCTCGAACTTTTACAAACACTGGCCGGCCGGATAGGATCCTAAAAACTAGCAGACGCGATCCCAAGTCAAATATTGGTTCGTTAACGTATCAACCAAGGCTTTTCCCGCGATAAAGTTCGTTCACCTTCGACGTACCCTCGTCCTTTCATAGTTCATCAATTACAATCGGAATGAAAAGTACCCGCGGCAAAAGTGCGCGCGTTTCCTTTCGGTGAAAATGAAAACGCATGGACAAGGGCGAATATGGTTATGTTGCCAGCCTGGGGCGATGCGATAACAGAGTGCGCCTATAATTCTCGATCCTGCCTAGGTGGCGTGGAGTGTTGATTTAACGAGAGGAAGATGTCGGCGAATTGGTTATAGAAAAATTGGTGTGAAATTAATCGACGCAATTTGTCGACGGTTATTTTCTTAATTTACTGTTACGTTCATGAACAAATCGCTATAATCCAGTCGTATCTGGTCGTGATGGGATTGAGCGCGGTGGTAATGCAACGTTGTTCAGCCTTGGCTTCGTCCCTTGGCGAAGAAAGAGAGGAAGGTGAAAGTACAGTTAGCCGAGTGTAGAGTCGTTTTAAAAGGAATTAGAAGTAATTTGAAATCGTATCGATTTGCGCGAGACAT